CTTCATTTGGATGTCAATTATATATACATTCGTTTAATACATTATCGAAGATATATTTACATCTGAAACCACGTGGAAGAACTACTTTCACTCCGTATTGTTTCCGAGGTGTTTATAGATAATAGCCGAGGACGTTCCGATTGCTAAACTGTGTTGATACGCAGTAAACAGACAAATCTTATATTCTTGGTCGCAGTGAGCACTTTTACAGACTCGCCTCGCTGAATAGTTTCCATTTTGGAACTTATCACTGCAATAAATTTGTGTTAAAGTTGCTATAGCAACCATCGACCTGAATCTTTCGGTGAAGGTGAATCTAATCTGCACCGTCATTTAACAAAATAAGACACATTTTTTTTCTTTGTAATTGTATGCTTCAATTACTTTTTACGCGAAGTGTATAGACCATTTTCAGAAAATTGAGATGTTTTTTTTTTTTCGTTTTATCCAACTGTTACGTGATATAGTCCTGTTGTTTGTTTTTTACACTATCATATTACATAGACAAACAGATAAAATATTTTAAACTTGTAAAGCATGATAAAGTTGTGACATATTGTTAATATTGAACTAATCAATATTTATGCTATTAAACGATTTCAAAAATAGCCCTAGTTCTTACATAACAATATATTTAATCATGACTTAAATCTAAAAATAGAAAGCATGTTTTTTATAGTTAAAATGTGAAATTATGCTCATCCAAGGGTATATACACTATTTACCCTTGGATGAGCATAATGTTACTTTTTAACTTTAACTTTCATCTTTTCATTTACTACATGTATATTACTGTATAGTAAATGAACAGGTTTTATAAATTACTTCGCGAACGATAAATAGCTCACGTAGTGCAGGGAAATTTCAGTAAATATCCGTTGGAAATACCTGTAGCGTTCAATGTATAAAAAATAGACTGGGGCAGTCTTTTTATATATTTTAGGCAGATTTATATGTGATCATAAATATTTTCCAGTATAAACTATTGGTCAATCACCAGTATAATAATCATAATAGTCAATCTTTTGACATTTAAGGTCAATTCAACTCCGCCTGACAATGAAAATATAAGCATAATTTCACTATAACAGAGAAATAGTTTTCAATTTTTTGTTGAGTAAAACATAACAGTTGATCGTAGTATTGTAATATTTAATTTTCAGCATTCATAACCTTATCAAATATATATTACATAATTTTATGTCAATACACAGCACACAACGTTGCTGATTTATCATCCTACTGCCAACCCATTTGTGTCGTCACTAATGAGTTTGAATCTTTGCATATAATAGAATACATGTAAGAAAAAAATGATATACAAGATTCATAACCACCAGTGTACCAGGACAATGTCCGTGAGTCATTCACATGAATTTCCTGACTGACATTTGTCACAAAGTTCCGACATGTGTGGCTTGTTTGGGTCGGTATGATGGGTCTTGTCACACCCGCATGTCCCACAACTAGAACACGTTGTCTCCTCCACTTTATATGGCTGACACGTGGTATTACACGTCTTACAGTTGTGTCCCAAGAACTAAAATAAATGAATGAATAAGTTAAGTAATTAATTTATTAATTAATTTTGATTCTTATACACATGTTCGATAATCCCAGAAGAAAAGGTGGAACGATCAATTAAATGTTAACAGTTGAAGCGTTACTTTAAACATATACAAAGTAAATGCATAACTGTGACCACATTGTAGCATTGTAGCAAACACATTAAATTTATACTTTCGGTTAAATATTCAATATATATTCCTGTCAAAATAAACGCAGCATAATAATGCCACACCAAGAGATCGAACTCTGGATCCCTGGTTCAATTGATCTACCGTTATCTATATTTCGTTTATCTTAAAATGTGTCATTTTATGCAACATATCGGGTTAAGGGTGTGTGGGTGAAGGGGGGGGGGACTCAATTGACTGTTGATGGGGTGGAGCGCGGTGGTGGTGTGAATCCTATTTAGATCTCAAAAAAGAGCAACGGTAAGAAATAAATGTGAAGTTCCGCTGATCCAGATGTGCAGTTTAACACCATATGTGAAAGAGAAATAGGTCAATTACAGGGTAAGTGTTCAACTTTTTAAACAGATATGTAAAATTTAAAGCTCTTTTGACGAAAATCAAAATGTTATTGATACTACCCAATTTTGAGATCCATATAGGGTTCACCCCCATCCTTGTGATTTTAACTGAGGACATATTGTTTCAAAAGTCAAAGTCCCCGATATTCCCCGGAGGTAGGGGAGCCGTTGTTACAATGGATTATGAATAGGATAGCATAGTTGTTATGAAATACCAATTACTGCCCTTGAGTCTTTAAATTAAAAACAAATATTCTTATTTAAGAATTCAATGAATCTTAAAACAAAAATAATCACCGTTCCTCTTTCTTTGTCCTCGTAATAAACATGCGAACTTTCCCACTCGCTGTTACAGTTGAGACATTTGAAAAATCCATACATTGTTACCCTAGCAACGACAAATTCTGGTAAAATAATTCCAAGAACTATTGTATGTAGCAACTGTAAAGTCCTTACTAAATAATGACAGGTGAGTTGGTTACACAGGTTAAAATTTCTGGGCGGAGCTATAGGTTAAAACAGATACACCATTGGTGCGTTGACGATTTCTGGGTTTGCGTAAATTATACCATAATCATGTGACCTTTCTTATGCAACCTCACTCGACTTCCGTCTCGTGAGGTCAAGGCATAAGAAAGGTCACGTGATTATGGTATAATTTACGCAAACCCAGAAATCGTCAACGCAGCAATGGTATATCTATTACTTAACTATCGGGGAACTGAACGCTCACCTAAAGTTAATACATGTATCGACATAATTTAAAAATTTACGAAAAGGGTAACAAGTGAATGTGTTTTATAAAATAAAAATAAATAGATGATAACGATTTTTTTAAAATCATTCTCTTAAAAAAAATCTTGATTCACTTTCGTTTTCCTATGTGATTATATTATATAAGATATGATGATGATGTGTCGTACATAGGGGTCAGGTTTCACGTTCAAACGTGACGATTGTCAATCTGTGCATAGCTTTGTCATTTATGGATGGACTTTGAAACAATAATTCTTAATAAATGTGTTATGATATATTATTATAATAATCTTACACTTTCAAAATAGAATGTAAGCTAATTTACCACGATTTAAATGATGAGCTGTGTTTTACAGATGGCCGAGTTATGGTCTACGTCTGATCATTTAAATCTGTTTTTGAATGTTCCTCTCGTGTATTACAGCAGAAAATACTTAAATGTCCTGTAACACAATTTATTATGGTTTTATATCATAAACATGATGCTCAAATTAAGATTTATCAATTGTGTAAGTTATAAAAAAAGCATTATTAATAAAGATATTACCGAATTTAACATTAATAAAGGGAGGTAATAAAAAAGTTAAATTTTTCAATAAGAAATGAATGCATATACATGTATTTTAATGATTTCATATAATATGTGTACATATTTTACATATTGTTCGATGTTTGAAAATTGTTTTATAAGCAGAATTACACTCCTTCTTGTTTTAAAGTGTAAAGCCTCGGTCTCACTTACTCCCGGCAGAGTTACGGATGTACCCCGGTTTTTCCCGGTCGTACCCGGATCACCCCGGACGTCTACCGGGGCTCTGCCGGGGCTCTGCCGGGATGTAAGTGAGACTGTAGCTTAAAGTACCGTGACATTACAGGAGGAGTATTTTATAATATAGTGACAATGTTTAAAACTTTTGTTTCTCTTTTGCTCTTGTAATGCATTCACAATTTGTTCAGTTGAGCTTCAATATGTTTAATATCTACAAAGCATGTTGGATAGTAGCCAAGTTAAACTTTTCAATAGGGAATAGGGAGACGCGTGACTCAATTTTACAGGAATGTAAATATAATGTATATCATATCACGCGTAACGCAATATAATGCATGTAATACATGATAATATCATATTTCAAAACATTGAAACAAATCCAGGAAGTAATGTAAAATATTCAAGTTCGTCTGCACAATAACAAGTACAATACCAGTGGATATTCATTTAGCTAAATTTCACAAATTAAATATATGTTTTAATAAGATCATTTTTTTTATTTTGAATGTAATAAATCTGTGAAATAAGAAAAGAAATTGAATACTCGTAAAGGGAAAAATTATGGTGGCACAGAGGTGACATGTGTGTGTGTTTTATCTCGTGCGCACGAGATACTATGTCGTGGCCAGTCGTTGACATGAGATATTTGAATCGTGCGCAATAGATACTTAAACGTGGCCACGAGTTACTAAATCGTGCTCACGAGTTACTAAGTAGAGCGCATCAGATAATTGACATTACGCCGCCTGTCAATCAAGCTGGCAGTGGTCTTACAGATAAGCCAATCGGCGATCGTTATCAGTTTCATGCTAAGATGTCTGGGAAGTCCGCCATTTTCCTTAGACAAGCTATGTCTATAAGACAATGGTGCAGCAGTATTTATATTGAAATTTTGATTTTTTTTGTCAATTTAAAGCTATTAAAACGGTATATCTAAGTTACAAAATATCCTCACATATTGACAGATGGAGTCAGTTAGTTCATTTTACAAAAAAAAAACAAAAATATCAGTAACTTTCTATATATGAAGATAATAAGTTATATAGAAAGTAGGAAAGTTAAAACTAGCAATACCACATTGCATTAAACAAGGAAAATGTTTGAACAAATACTCTATTCCTTCCTTCATTACAATTGTGTCTATTCATAATCACATAATATATTATAATAAGGTCTCAGAATATCCAGAAGATATGACATTTTTTGTTCGTTTATAACATATTGTCAATAAAATGCTGCAGTAGAAAAAAAAGTACTTGCAAATGAAATGAAAAAAATATGCAATAAATATTTCAGGTGAAATTATCCTACCTAAATATTTCTATTAAAGCTCAAAGAATTAAGATTCAAGATTAAATATTTTAAATATATCTGCTTCAATAACATCTAATCTGATCACGGTTTTAATTTAAAATATGTGAAATTTATTTTGAAGTTAATAATATTGCGTTTTATCACGAAAATATCTAATGTACAAATATACATATAATCATATATCATACTACAAAGTTACGCATGGGCAATTTTCTCATTTAATTTTGACAATTTATGCGCAATTGGCATTATATATACTGATTTTGAACATAAAACCCCTAAAACATTTGTAAATGTTACTGTTTCATTGATATAATTTTATTATTATATGTTCCACTACATCAATTTTAACTATCTTTGAATTTGTAAACTATAATGATAATTTGTCAGTAACATCTTCCTTGAAGTCAGCGAGAAATATAACAAGATCTTTGCCAAACGTTTTATTCATCATTTATGTATGAATGCATTTATTTGTTACTTTTTTAAATACCATAATACATTGAACTATTCAATAAAAGCATTAAAATTTTATATATACCAAATGATATAAGGTAAATTCATTAGTCACTTAAGTGGCATGACAGTTTCGCGTAAACGTCGGTACCGTCTTTTGTCTAAGGTTCTGAATGACCGGGTCACGTGAATCAGTGGGCGGAGCAATCTCTTCTCTGGTGTAATGTCAATTAAGTTATGCGCACGAGATACGTTGTCGTGGGCACGAGATACTATGTTGTGGCCACAAGTAATTAAGTGTTGCGAATGAGATAATTTAGGAATGGGAAACTTGAGAAAGAATAAGCCATGGTTTATATAACCTAGTATCGACATTGCATCTGATCAGTAGATTTATCAGTAACTTATAATTTTGAGGTCATTTGGTCAAAAATAAGGGTCACAATGGCGATAAATGTTCAATCATTGTCCAGTCAATAACTTGCATTTATATGACAGGCAGGTGAAGCAGGGGCATCATTGTCCTACAGCACATTTCTAGTTAACTAAGAAAGTTTGTAACTCGTGGCCACGACATAGTATCTCGTGTGGACCACTTTATTATGTCGTGTCCACGACTTAGTAACACGTGACCACGACATAGTATATCGTGCCCACGACTTAGCTATCTTGTGACCATGACTTAGTAACTTTGCACAATTGATACCTGATTATAAATAGTCCATTTTGGCTCTGTATACATGTCATGTTTATTGCAAAAAAGTTTATAGACGGTAAAGAATTTGGTCACGTTGTAATCGCATGCTCGATGATGACGTCATAATTACAATTATGAATTCTTGGAGAATATTCTATTAAATGTATTATTCATTGTCAGCTACCATGATATGTTGGTTTCTGAACACGGGTGCCTTAGCGGCCTACTAATAAATATTTATTAATGACTAAAATAACGACTTTAAATATAGAGCCAGATCTATTTGATATGTCATATGATGAAGTCGTCATCATCAGATGATCTAGATTCTACTTCCAGTACAACTGATAATAATAATAATAAAATAATAATAATAAATTGATAAAAAAAATTAAAATAAAATAAAAATATCTAGAATCTAATAGATCTAATAATAATATATAGAATATTATGAATATAGGTAAATAAATAAACTGGTATTTTATTTATTGATTAATTACCAGCTCATCTGGGATTAGAACCTAGTGACAGAACAGCCTAATTAATGTCAACTGATAATTTAATATCTTTTTAAATTTTTATTAATAAAATTATCTCTGTGGTAGATGCCAAAAGCAAAACCAAGGTCAAGGAGGACTAGGTCGGAATTAAGAGAAAATGATCAACAAGGTGTCCAGCCCCTGCATCAGCAGGTCTTGCAGCGTAGGGCATGTCAGTCACACCCTGATGTCCAACCACCTGTCAGTCAGCCTCTTGCACATCAGCCTCCATCAGTAAACATACAGCCTCCTGTGATTGTAAAGCAACCTGCTGTCCAGCCTTTTCTTGTTGACGTACAGAAACCTGTTGTTCAGCATCAACTTCTCAATGTACAGCCACCTATGCACCAGCATGGACAGCCTCAGCATGAACAGCCTCAGTCAGTAGAAAGGCGACAGCTGTCAGACGGTACAAGTAACAGTATTTCTTTTTATACGCCCGTTTGAAAAACGGGACGTATTATGGGAACGCCCCTGGCGGGCGGGCGGTCGGGCGGGCGGGCCTCGTCCAATTTTGTCCGGATCATATCTCCTACATGTATAGAGGGATTTTAATGAAACTTCATAGAAATGTTCACCACTATGAGGAGCAGTGTCGCGCACATGAACCAGGTCTCTAGGTCAAAGGTCAAGGTCACACTTAGAGCTCATTGAAAAATGCTTGTCCGGAGCAAAACTTCCACATGTATAGAGGGATTTCAATATTACTTGGCACAAATGTTCACCATTGTGAGGCGGAGTGTCGCGCGCAAGATTCAGGTCCTTGCGGCCAAGGTCAAGGTCACACATAGAGGTCAAATTTCAGATAAAAATATGAAGATGTGTATATGGACCATTTAGTCATCAAATATTGAGGGATTGTAACACAAATGGTCATTATCAAGACTATGGCTGTGATACATATAATTTAGGTCAATATATACAAGGTCAAGGTCACTAAAGATGATGAAATATCCAGATTTTGTCCGGAGCATATCTCCTACACGCATGGTGGGATTTAAATGAAATTTCATAGAAATGTTCACCATTATGAGAAGCCATGTCACGCACATGAACTAGGTCAAAGGTCAAGGTCACACTTAGAGCTCTTTAAAAAACGCTTGTCCGGAGCAAAACTTCCACATGCATAGAGGGATTTCAATATAACTTGGCACAAATGTTCACCATTGTGAGGCTGAGTGTCGCACGCAAAATTCAGATCCCTGCTACCAAAGTCAAGGTTACACATAGAGGTCAAAGTTCAGATAAAAATTTGAAGATGTGTATAGGGACCATTTAGTCATCATTTATTGATGGATTGTAGCACAAATGGTAACTATCATGACTACAGGTGTGACACATTTAATTTAGGTTAATATTTGCAAGGTAAAGGTCACTTGAGATAATTCAATATCCAGATGTTGTCCGGAGCATATTTTCTACATGCATGGAGGAATTTTAATGTTACTTTATAGAATTGTTCACCACCATGAGACGTAGTGCCCTGCACATGAACTAAGTCTCTAGGTCAAAGGTGAAGGTCACAGTTAGAGCTCATAGAAAAACGCTTGTCTGGAGCAAAACTTCTACATGCATAGAGGGATTTCAATATAATTTGGCACAAATGTTCATCATTGTGAGGCTGAGTGCCGTGCATAAAATTCAGGTCCCTGCCACCAAGGTCAAGGTCAAACATCCTGTGCATATCTTCCCTACTGATTTGTTTTAAGGTTCATTTAACAACACAGTGCCAAGAATAAAAACTTGCTTGCTAGATAACACTTATCCATAATGCCCCCATCTCCATCTAAAGCTTTCGTAAACGGGCGTATTTTGTGACTATGGCACCCTTGTTTAAATGATGATAATAATAATAACATACAACAAAATGTTAACTTAACAACCAACCCATTTGATCATAACATTCTTGTTCCTCTAACGGTCGAAAATGTACATTTCCATGTACCCACTTGCACACAAATAAAAAAAATTAATAATGAGTATATTGAAATGAGCGCTTTATTACCTGAAAATCAAGCTGAACCAAGTGCTAAAATGCTTATTCTCCAGAATGGCAACATTATTGCTAAGGAAAAACAGCATAAAAGTATTACAAATATAGAAAAATTGGTCAGATGCTTTCATAGTTTTTATATCAATATGTTTTGAGACACCCTGAGGCAACTCAGGGTCTTTTAAAGTAAATGTCAGTAATCAGAAGGCTTGCAGCACGTAATGCAAACTGGGTTTATTACGACAGTTTCGTTTGCGTAAGGCAGTTAATCCAACCAGTAGCTGGGCTGTTATTGATACTGAATTATGGCTTCTTAGCACTAGTGGTAATAATCAAGTATTTAGTGATAGCCGTCCATGCTATGATTATAATTTCAAAGGTTTATGTCAGAAGCAGTACTGTAGTTATCAGCACAAATGTTTGAAATGTACACTGAATCATCCAGTTTGCAAATGCAGGTTTTCTGATAATAATCAAACATCTCAAAATGTAAGTAATTTCAGGCCAAATCGACAAAATCGAATGCCAGTTGCCGCAAGAGCCCAGCAGAACACACCAAGGTTTATGGGACCTCGCTTCAACACCTATTAAAGTTGAGAGGTTATCTTTTTGGTTAAATGATTATCCAGATCAAGACATCACCAATTATCTTTTAAATGGCTTTCAAAATGGTTTCAAATTAAGATATACTGGGCCGCACATCCCTCTTTTTCTAAAAAATTTAAAATCTGCCATAATATGCCCAGAAATATTTCAAGAAAAGCTAAATAAAGAACTAATGTTGGGTCACCTTTATGGTCCATTTGAACATCCACCATTTTCCAATTTGAGAATTAATCCTTGTGGTTTGGTACCAAACAAATCCGGAGGGTGGCGACTTATCACTCATTTGTCATTCCCTCCATCGTTAAGCAAAAATGAGTTTATAGATCCAGAGTTAACCTCGGTGCAATATTCAAAATTTGACAGTGTTATAGAAATGGTACAAGGTCTTGGTAAAGGGGCACTACTCATGAAAAAAGCTATAAAGTCAGCGTTCGATTTACTTCCCGTTTACCCATCTGATTTCCCACTATTGGGTATTTACAACGATTTTACATCGGAGATCTTAATTCAGAAAACCATGCCACAAGGATGATGTTCTCTAAGCTGTGCAACCTTTGAAAAGTTTTCAACTTTCTTACATTGGATAATAGCTAAATATTCCAAGTCCACTAATATTGACCATTATTTAGATGATTTTTTGTTTGCGGCCATGACATTACCCGACTTATCTGCTATAGTTGATACTTTTGATTTTATTTGTGGTGATATTGGGGTGCCACTAAATGAAGATAAAAATGTAGGTTCAGTTACAACTATTGTTTATCTAGAACGCCGCCTTTCCTTGTTGATCTTGTTTTTCATATTTTTTGGAAATAGATTCAGAAAATGGAATTATTAGAATTCCACATGGAAAGATTATAGCGTTAATACATCTGTTGGAAACATTTATGGATAAAAAGAAAATTACACCAAAGCAGTTACAATCATTGGTTGGCTCTCTTTAATTTCATCTGCAGAGCCATTCCTTCTGGTAAAGCATTCAATAGACGTTTTTGTAATGCTATGTCCCAAGCACGTTTACCCTATTTATTTCATTTCATTAGAGTCTCTGCTGGAATGCGCTACGATATGGAAGTATGTTTTTTGTTTTTAAAAGATTTTTATGGTATTTGGTACTTAATTGACCTTGAATGGACCAGTTCAGACAATCTGGAATTATTCACGGATGCCTGTGGCAATAAAGAATGTGGATGCGGGGCTTATTTTCAAGGGAAGTGGTGTTTTTTAAAGTGGCCATCTGATCTAACACCTGAGCTTTTAAGGTATATAACTTATCTAGAGCTTATTCCCATTATGTTGGCTCTCTCTGTTTGGGGACACCTTTTTCAAAGGAATAAAAATCTTTTCAGAACTGATAATAATGCCTTAGTAGCTATTATAAATAATAGGTCATCAAAAAATAACAAGGTCATGAATCTGGTACGTCAGCTTGTGCTTTTTACTCTGAGATACGGTATTCAGTTTTGAGCTCTGCATATTTCGACTTCAAAAAATGTAATAACTGATGACTGTGGAATCGTCTAGGCAAAGTTCTACCAGTTGGAGTGTCATTGGCACCGGAAGAAATCCCGGTTTCGTTTCTAAACATTTTCAAACAGAAATTGATAAATTAGCTATGTCATCTATGTCTGATAATACTCTGAAGACATATAATAATGGGCTTTCTTTATATAAGCATTTCACAGAAGAGCTAAAAAAAAATCTTGCATGGCCACCTTCTGTGGAAAGTGTGTTAGAATTCATTGCGTATATGTCTTTGGCGGGTTACTCATTTAAAACTGTCAATAGTTACATATCTGCTTTAAGTTTTCAGTGTAAACTTAATGACTTCATTGATTCTACACAGCACTTCCTTGTGAGAAAAGTCTTAAAAGGTTACATGAAGGTTAACATATATCAGATTACCAATTTCTTATTCAATATTAATTACTTTGTTAAAAAATCTTCATTTTGTGTGTACTTCAAGTTATGAGGCTAACCTTTTTCAAGCCGCATTTTGTTTGGCATATTTTGCATTGTTACGAATCAGTGAGTTTGTTCCATCAAATCCAAGAGAGTCAAATAAGATCATCCAACTGTCAGATGTTGAGGTAAATCAAATGCAAGTTTCAATAAAAGTTAGGCACTCCAAAACTGATCAGTTAAGTCAAGGTCCTAGATTAATCATCCCACATTCTGGACAGGGAACAACAGTTAACTCTACTCTTTTGCAGTCTCCTGCAGTTAGACCTAATATCTCTTCTCAATTTCTCTGTCATTTTGATGGAACAAACCTTACTTCATACCAATTTAACTTTGTTATGAGGAAAGTTCTTGAATTCAGTAACTACAACAATCACACTCTTTTCGTATAGGTTCTGCAACTGATTTATTTTTACAAGGTTTTTCCGATGAGCAAATAAAAAATCTTGGAAGGTGGAAAAGTTCGGCATATCAGAATTGTATTCGCATTTAGTTACATGTATTTAGTTTTACACGATGCTGAGATCTTTTTTCAATTTCCAGGTACATTACAAGTGTATATAGTTGGCTCGTCAATAATAAAATATGCTGAGCAACATGCAAAGAATACTGTTGGTCAACACCTGGGCTTAAACAGGTATAAAATTTTTCTAAATTGGATAGGTGTTTCTTCTTTGAAGGTCGAAAATGTACTGTCAGCCATTGAATAACTTAAAAGATATAATAGCCTAGACATAATGGGCATTCATTGTGGAGATAACAATGTCGGTTCAACTCCATTAGGTCAACTTACGTTTTTCTAAGATCACTACTGAATGAGTTCCTGTTTAAATATTCATTTGCTCCAAAAGTTTTTTTTCACAAATGTTACCGAGATTAAAATGGCATTATGAACGCAATCACAACTCTTTAGAACTAGCTAATAAAGACAACAATAATTCCATTTCCACAAAAATAGTTTAAAAAGGTGGAGCTTTGATTAAGTATCCAGAAATAGTTGAAGAATCACCGGCCTTGTTTCGCCGTGACCAAGTCCATTTGTCGAGTTTGGGCAATGACATCTTTCTACACACTTTGCAAGGGGCACTATATAAATTTTGTCATAATAATGATGTTGTTTCTTTTCCTTATGTCTCTGAGGTTGGTCCATGGCTTGCTATGTAATTCTCCTTTGCCCGTACGCTTTGTGGCGGTGGACTACTGCCGAAGTCCATTTGGCAGAATACGGGCATGGTTTATTTAGAGACAGATATTTTATTAAGTAGGCAGTATCTGTACACCAGGCTGTCAGTAACACATGGTGATGTGTTTTTCTAATTTGTCAAATTTTAGATTTGAGGGGATAAACTTGATATGTTGTGTTTTGGAGGCTGCCCGTTGATAGTGAAATTTGGCGCCTCACTGTTGTTTTTTGTTTAGCAAAATGTTTGCTATCACCAGACTGTCCTGCATATTTGGGCAAGGACCTTTTTATATTTCATGATGCAGTATCTGATCACCAGTCTGTTTTCATGTTTTTTCAGTTGATAGACTTTGTTTTGTTGTTTTTGTAGGCTACCAGTTGTGCCTCATTGTATTTGATTTCATATAAAACATATATTTCAAGCAGCCATGGACATAAATTGCCTTTTTCACCTTTTTGTTTTTATCAATAATTTATTTTGCCCCAACCTGTTGTGCTGATAAATAGATTAGATGAACGAATTGATGAGAATAAGGAAAGAGATGGTATCCCTGCAAATGGTGACAGTACTGACATATCACGTAATATTGTGATCAGGAATTTACCAAGTACAGCAAATGAAAATGTCGTGAACAAGGTAAATACTTTTATTAAAGATGGCTTACATATCCCTGATATAACTGTCTTGTCTGCAACAAGAAAGAAAAGTAAACCTGAGCATACACATGGAGTCATTGTTGCTAAGTGTTAATCTGAAGGAGATAAAAATATTATATTGCGGAACAAAAAAAAGATTATTTCACCAAACTCGTTATGAAAAGGTATATGTGAATTCCGATGAGCCAGCTGCGGTCAGAAAACAAGAAGCAAACCTTAGAACTCTAGTTAGAGCTATGAGAAATGGGAATTTTAGAAATGTTACCAGGAAAAGATCTAGGATATACAATCAATCACAAATAATTTGGTCGTCCAGAAAATCCCTGGATCTGGTTGGCAGGTCAATAA